TTTTTTTGGTTTTTTTTGTTTTTTTTTTTTTTTTTTTTTTTTTTTTTTTTTAGCAAGACTTTTCACTGGCTTGAAACACGTCAAGAATGACAGGCCACCTGGCCAGCCGGTCTCAGAGATCCATCTTTCTCAGTCCCTCCAGCATAGGAATGACAAGAACATGCCAACCATGCCTACTCTGTATGTACACACATGTATGGTACGGGCAGGATGCCACAGTGTGTGTAGAGGTTGGAAGACAATATTGCAGAATCAGCTCTCTCCTTCCCCCTTTACAGGGGCTCTAGGGATTGAACTCAGGCTGCCAAGCTTACAAGGTGGGCACTTTCATTCTCTGGGCCATATCACCCCCCCACCCCAAAACCTAGCCCCTTTGACATGAGTTCTGAGACTTGAACTCAGGTCCTCAAGGAACTGACTGGCTGAGCCATCATCTTCTCCCTAAGAAAAATGTATTCAAAAAACCTCACTCGCTCAGTCAAGACTCAGAGGTCAACCTTAATCAGTTGCTTTACGGCTTTAATCAACTCACTGGACTCTTTTAGACTCTTGGTTTCTTCATTTGTAAAACAGCAGCCCTATTGCCGCCCTCACAGAATGTCTCAGAAACCAAGACAGTATCTTCAAAATGCCTGGCTCTTCAACTGCTTGAGAAGGCAAGACCGCATGGATGAGGTTTCTGCTCAGTGGTTAACGGCACGTATTGTTCTCGCAAAGGACCCAAGTACAGTTCCCAGCACCCACATCAAGAGGTTTTCACAGGGGCTGGAGAGATGGCTCAGAGGTTAAGAGCATTGCCTGCTCTTCCGAAGGTCCTGAGTTCAATTCCCAGCAACCACATGGTGGCTCACAGCCATCTGTAATGGGGGTCTGGTGCCCTCTTCTGGCGTGCGGGCATACACACAGACAGAATATTGTATACATAATAAATAAATATTTTTAAAAAATTGTGGTTAGTGGTCTTAGTCTCCCCTGGTGGAATTAACAAAGGGAGCAAAAATGTCTAAAGGCATCTAGAAGAGCCCAAAACAGAGAGAAAAGGTGGTGGACTGGACAACGCCAAAGCTAGGGAAGCAGGAGATATCAGGAGACGGAATAACGAGAGGGATGGTGAGAATAGCAAGAGCAGGGTGTAAAGAGAGCAGGGATCTAAGATGAGGAGGGCCAGCAGGCATAGGGACTTGGAAATGTGTAACAGGTACTTGTGAGTAGGGACCAAGGGAACCTGGTCAGCGTGGACTTTGATATGCAATCACAGGTGTGTATCCATGGAGAGCCACATGTTTATTTTGCCAGAGGCAAAGAAAATGACTCCTTTCGATGGACATGAACTATTTCACAAGTTCCTGGGGGGAATGTTGG